GAACTAAGGAGAAACTTCCTGACAGTGAGAACAATTAACCAGTGGAACAACCTGCCTCCAGAAGCGGTGAATGCTCCAACAGTGGAAGTTTTTAAGAAGAGACTGGACAGCCATTTGTCCGAAATGGTATAGGGTTTCCTGCCTGAGCAGGGGGTTGGACTAGATGACCTCCAAGGTCCCTTCCAACTTTACTATTATTATTATTAAAGCGTCCTTGCCCTGCTCCCCGACACCCTTGCGAAAAGGCCAGGCGCAGGTTTTGCTCCAGTCAAAAGAAACGCAGAAACGTCTCTCTCTTCCTGCCGGCTCATTCTCCCCCCCCCACCCCCCCACCCCGAGCCAATGCGAGGAAGGGGCTGACTGCACCCCTGGTGGGGACGCAAGCCAGGTGGGCGGCGGGCCGTGTCCTCTCGCCCATCCGAGCCACCGGCCGCCGTGTCCGGAGCGCTTCAGGGGGGGGGCTTCGGGGCCGCCGCAGGGGGGGCAAAGGCTGCTGGTCCACGCTTCTCCCGCTCCCCGCGCCCGGCAGGCGGAGGGAATTCCTCCCAGCCCCCCCCCTCCCAGCGCACGGCTGCGGGAGAGGGAAGCCGGGCTTCCCCCGTTGGGCCAGGCTGGGTGGATGGCAGAGGCAGGCAGGCAGGCAGGCTCCTCCTCCTCCGGGTGGCTCGCAGGTCAAGGCGGGCCGTGAGCGAAGGGGCGGCGGCCGCGCCCTCGGCCAGGCAGGGAAGCCGGGCCTTTCTTTGCCAGGAGCCGCTTTAAGGCCAACCGACGCCCCAAGGACAGCCCCACGAGGTGCCCCGGGGCGGCCGACGCCCCCGCCAGACCAGCCCCAGGCTGGCCCCGCCCGCCAAGGGAGAGGAGGCCAGAGAGGCCGAGCGTGGACGCGGCGGCTCCGGACAGGGCAGAAAAGCGCCACTGCGGAGTCCCGGCGCCTCTTTTGGACGGAGCCGCGCCGAGAGCGGCCCCTCGAACGGCGTCTGCGAGCCCCGCAGAGCTGCTGGGCGGCCCTCCTGGGGCCCCTTCCCGGGGCGCTTCTGGGAGCCCCGAGAACCCGCAGCGGGGCCGGCGGTCTTTGCTCGGGGCTCCCAGGAAAGGGCCGCTTTATTTCACATTGTGAAAAGCGTCGCCCCCTTTTGAGCGCCGTTTCACGGCCACGCAGGGCAAGAAAACGAGCGTGGTTTTACCCGGGGCGGGGTCGCCCCATCCCCATCCCCGAGGGCAGCCAAGGGACTAGGGTTGCCAGGTGTCCACTATTTGAGTGGACAGTCCACTTTTTTCACATTATGTTCACTAATTTTTTTCACAAAATAGTGGACATTTTTTTTAAATTCAAAAGCTTTAGGATGAAATGGTACGTAATCTAAAGCTGTACAGTCTACTTTTTTTACTACTTAACACCCCCCCACCGCTTGTCCGCTATTTTTTGGAAGCAGACCTGGCAACCCTATAAGGGACGAAGGGGGCGGCGGCGGCTCCGGGGCCCTCAGGAACAGCAGCGGGGATGGGGCGCCCTGAGAGAGAGAGGGAAGGAGGGAGGGGAGAGAGAGAAAGAAAGAGAGAGGGAGGACGTGGCCTGAAGAAGGATCGGCCTTGGAGGAGGACAGGGGAAAAGCCGCTGCAGAGTCCGGGGCCTGGCCCTTCCTGCGGGCCCTTCCTGCTCAACGGCGAAACGCTTCGGAAAAGGCGCTTCTCCCTTCCGAGATGACCCCGGGCAAAGGCGGGGGAAGGGGGCGCCCCCCAACCCAGCCCTCGCTCTCCGGACAGCCGCCCACCCACCCACCTACCCACCCCGAGGACCATCTGGTCACCCCGACTTCAGTCAAGGAAAAGAGCAGAAACAGACTTTGGTTAAGTAACCAGGCTTTTAGAAAGTAATATATCATTTTCTAAACATATCAGTGCATACTTCTTATATGAAAATATACACTATTGTATTTCATTCTCAAAGAAAAAAAAGGAAACATTTAAAAACCAAAAGCCAAACACAATATATTAGCTGTTTTTGTAGTTTAAATTTTTTTAACGCTACACTTTGTTCAGGTTACACTTTTTTGTCTTTTTTTGTGTTTTTTGTAAATGTTTTCTCTCATGCATTGTACGCTTTTTGTAGCCTTTGAGAATAAATAAGCTCCATTTCCCCCACATCTCTAAAAACTGCAGCATTTTCAACTAAAGTCATTTTAAATCGTGCAATTTTGTGTTTCGTTGCAACACCCCTTTTTAAAAATGGAAAATATATAATATATATTTATATTTATATATAGATAACTTTTTAAAACTAAAACCCTATACAAATGCCATTTTTTCAAATTAAAAAAATTATACACAATGTAACTGTCAACAGTACAGATGAACACGAGAAATAAAATTAAAAGCTCTCGAGAAATATATTTATAGAAATACAAACAAGGGGGTTGATTTTGTAGATTGTCATTCTTTTGCTTGTCTTTCAAAAAATGAGGTGGAGGAGGAGGGAGGAAGAGCGAAAGGGAGGGGCTGCAAGACCCCTCAGTGAAAGAGTGGGTGGAGAGGGTCTCAGAGGGACAGAAACAAAGGAACAATTCTGGGCTTCTTCCAATGCCCTCAACCACCAGCCCAGTGGCTGAGCCAGGCAGGACCTTCTCCAGCCCCTTCTTTGGACGTGCTGCCCCCCCTCCCCAACCTCTGCCTGGTGGCCAGAGGCTCCAGGCAGTTAGCCAAGAGGCCAAACCCGTTTTCTGCACCCAAGAATAGTGCAATGAGGCTCACCGCCCCCCGCCCCCCCGAAGCCCTGGGCAAAAGCTATATGCCTCCGGCGCAGCCCTCCCCAGGGAAGCGTGTCCCTCTTTGTGCGACAGACCGAATGGAGCTCATCACATTCATTGGCTTCAACTCAACTCATTCACAAAGCCAAGGGAGGTCTTCTCCTGCCCCACCCTCCTGTTGGTGCCCAGGGCTCTGAGGCCAGGCCTGGCCTTCAGCAGACGGAACAGCTCTGCCCTCCTCCTGCCGGGGAGCTCCAGGCAAAATGGAAATAATCCAACACCTAGATTGGAAATGGGGGAGGTGGGTGAAAGGACGGATGGGAGAAACAAACATGGAAGCCAAGCTAACGCCCCCCCCCCAAGGTTACTGCAGCTCCACAGGGCTGGGGGCTCCAGCTCTGCTCCCCCTCCTGCCAACCTACCCCATCGGAATCCGAACAAGCCTCCAGGGCTCAAACACTCTGGCCACAAATGAAGGCAAATCAAGATGAACCAAAAGCAATGATGTACAAACCAAGATCTACAAACCAAGGTTGGATGCTTCCACTTGGAACTAAACCCTGTCCTTTAGGGGGTGGCGATTCCCCCTCAGGAGCTTCCCCAACAGCCCTTCGACAACAACGAATGCAAGATTCCTGAGCAAACGAATGGCACTCTCCTTTCCGCCTTAAATCCCAGCAGGGGGACACAGGGTTTTGCAAACATAGGGGGGGGGCAGAAGGAAACCCCCCTCCCACAGCTTTGCTGGCCCCCCCTTAGGTGGGCCAGGCCCTTCGCCCCAAACAGGAGTGGGGAAGCGTTGGCAGCAGAGTCCCAGCCAGGTCTGCTCAGAAGTAGTCCGGGTGCCAGCTGGGGAGGTGGGCATGGAGGGAGCCAGCTTGGCAGGGTGCTGGGAGCAGGGAAGGGGCCAGGAGCCCTCCACACATTGCACGGTTTCCACTTAAACGTCTGAGCTGAGAAAATCAGGTCGTGAGCTGAGAAACTTGTATCTGAGGAAAAGGATGCCCTTGAATAAAAGGCAGCATATTATTTTTTTTTTAGGATTTTTTTTTCCATAGAAATACTGAGGCAAAATTCCTCTCCTGCCTCGCCTCAGAGCAGGCCCGTTTCTCTGGGAGCCCCAGGTTCTTGGTCCCCCGATGGCTGAGATTGCTCGGCTGCTCTCCACCGCCCCCCTCTCTCTTCTCCAACAGGGTTGCCAAACAAGTGAAACTTTCACTGGACTAAGAAGGGGACAAGCCGGGGATTGAAAAGGGCGAGAAACGCTCTGACAGCTGCATCCTCTCTAGTGTGAACCATGCAGTGTGTGAAAAGGTGTCCCAATGGCTCCCCCTCCCCAAGCAAGTCTTGCCGTTTTCATCCCTCCAGCAAATGTGGGGGGGGCCATGGGGGGGCCCAGGCCCACCCCACAATGGCATCACTGACCCGTCGCCCCCGCCAGCTCTCCTCCAGCAAATGTCTCTTGCAGCTGCCCGGCTGTCTCCAGGGAGAGTCACAACGGGCTCTCTTGTGCCGTGCAACATGGGCCCAGCCCTGCCCCCCGCCACGGAAGGGAGCTGCCTGCGCACAGCTGACAAGGGCAGGACAAGCAGGGACCCGGGAAAGTCTCTGTGGGTTCTGGAGCGTGCAAACAAGGGGTGCCTCCATATTTTATCCAAGGAAAAAACCCTGTGCCCCAGATTATCAAAAGTTTGGAAAGAGTGGAGGGGAGAGTTCCCTCACCCTCAAAAGCTATTGCATTTCTCCAGCCTTCGCTCACCTGGTAACCCCATTCCAGCTGCCCCCCCCCTGGCAGGTTTAACCCTTTCTCTCCTGGCTTAAAGCGGCTGCTTGGGAGGAAACCCTGGCTCCATCCCATGCTGGGCCGCAAACCTGCCGTCTCCTCTCTTAGCCACCTGGACACCCCCCAAAGGCACTCTCCTCTTTCTTTCAATCAGGACTAGAAGCGGCCAAAGGGAGACCTCCGCCCCATCCCCACCCTGACCCTCTTGCGGAGCCAGCGATCGCCCCAGACCCTGGGCCAAGAGGTGGCTGCCACTCAGGGAGGCCGATTCTTGGAAGATCCTCGGGGCCTTTTCGTCCTAAAACAGATGCCTACAAAATCCTAAAGCTATTTTTCAGGCAGTTGATAATAAGCCCCTCCCCCTCCCCATGCCTCCCCTCCCCCCTCCCTCCTCCTTTTCCACTCCCCCCAACACAACTACGGGGGGGAGCCGAGAGCCCCCTGCAGGAAAGGGGGGGCCACGTGGGGGGCAGTTACGTGGCCCAGGCATCCAAGCGCATGCGTTTGATGGAGGGGTTCTCCCCCTCGGCCTCGGCGCTGGGTCTCAGGAGCCCGAGGGAGGAGCCAAAGTCGGGCCGGGAGGGGTCCTCCCGCTCGGGGGGGCCCTCGTAGGAGCTGGCGTTGCTGCTGAGACTGTCCACGGGCGAGCGTCCGCTGGGCTCGTGGCGGGCCTGGTGGGAGAAGGGAGAGGAGGAGAGCGGGGTGCCACTGTTGCGCTCCCGGCTAGGTGAGACGGGTTCCGACTTGATGCTGATGCTGGGGCTGGTGTTGACTGTCAAGGTGGCGGCGCAGATGGAGGCGGCGGCGGCAGCAGCGTGCGGCAGACGGCTTCCTTGTCTGGCAGAGAAAGGAGAAGGGGGTGAGGGGGCGAGGAAGGCAGGGCCGGACTCCGAGATGGCTTCCTTCCCATCCGCTGGAAACCGAGCTTTGGGCAAAAACGTCAGACGGTGGTCATGTGACTGTGGGAAAGGGCAACCAGCCACAAACAGAGGCCAGTTGCCAAAGAGTGCTCAAAATGCAGTGGTGTGGGGGGGGGAGGGATGGCCATTGGAAGTTCAGAACTGGGGGGTCTATTATAATTTTGAACAGTTGCTAAGTGACTGGCCGTAAGTTGAGGACGACCTGCAACCCAGTAATTCACCTGCCAAACAAGGCGCCCTTGCGGGGGAAACGAGTTTCCGCTGGAAGTGGAGGTGGGGGTTCAAGAGGCAGGCTCTGTTGCGGACCATCACACCACATGGCCGCACACCGCCCTTCCCCACCCCAGAGAGGAGCAACCTGGAAAATCTCCATCCTGGTTTCAGGAGGCCATGGTTTCAGCCAATTTCAGAGAAAGGGCAAGCCTTTGCAAGCCCTGGGAAGCCCGGCTTGTCTCGGGTGCCTCAAGAAACACCTATTTTCACGGGCTTTTGCAATTCACTGAGAATATCTAGCAATATTCTTCTTTTCTCTTCCTTCATCTTTCCCTTCCTCCCTCCTTCCTGCTTTTTCCCCCCTCTTACCTAATTTCTCCCATCCCTCCCTCCCTCCCTTCTCCACCCAGCTCCACAGCTAAAATAGCAAAGGAAGGCATGTCTAAAATATTCCAAACTCCCATTCAAGGCATTACCTTAAAATAACCCCCTGCCCCACCTCGGCCGAGAGCAAATTCTCCAGGGGGGAGCCGCCCTGCCCGGCTGGCTGGCCCAGATGAGCCACTTACATTAAGTTGCTGAGGGAGGCCGGGATCTGCGGCTGCGGCTGCAGCTGTTGTGGTTGTGGCTGCCAGGCAGAGAGACTGCCCAGAGACAGGCTGGTGGGCGAGCTGAAGGCCGGGAGGGAGGAGAGCTCCACACTGCTCAGCTGGTAGTCTGGAAGGAAGCAGAAAGGTCAGGCCAAGCGTTCCCAGCCCGCTGGCTCACGCCCTGTCTGCACAGCTTGACTACTGCAAGATGCTCCTGCAACGAGCTGCCCTTGAAGGCTGCCCAGAAATTCCAACTGGCCCAGGGTGGATTGCACTTCTTGGCCGTTTGCTTCTGGGTGCCACTCAAGGTGCCAGTTACCCACGAACCCTTCCTGGCACAGGGCCTGCTTATTTGAAGGACCCCTGCCTCCCATAATATCTGCCCATTGCTTCAATTTTGGCCAGGTTGGCATGCTCCAAGCTCTTCCGATTAAACGGTGCCATCCGCGGGGACCCTGGAAGTGTGTTTCCCTGCCATAGGCCCTGCCCTCTCCAATGAGGCTTCCCCCCCAGGTTGTGGGCAGCCCCCACCCTGCTGTTGTTTCAAAGGGGCTTGAAGACTTGGTTTCTGTCCCAGGCCTTTGGTGAGGGAGGGTGAAGGCCCTTTGCTTCATTCCTATCCAATCTGTTTAATTTTTTTAAAAATAGGTATTACTGAATTTCCCTTGTTTTAAGTATTGTGAGCTGCCCGGGTTCATTGGGAATCTGGTGGCACACAAATTGAATCAAATTAAATAAAGGAAGAAATAAGAGAAAGAGTCTGGATCCAAGAAATGTATCCAGCCATGGATGCAGCTCCTTCATCAGCAGACACCCAACAGCTTGTCTTCGCTGCATCCCCAGCTAGGCTGGCTGGGGAATTCTGGGAGTTGAAGTCTTAACACTTAAAGTTGCCAAGGTTGAGAAAGACTGGTCTAATGTTGTTCGTCCATCGATTTTTCGATGAAGACCTTGACATCTTGTGGATTGTGGGCCATCAGCGGTGTGTCCGTAGATGGCTGATGAGACCGATGTTAGCACGGAATGTTCTGCCACATACTGAACAGAGAAATGTGGACACTGTTGCTTCAGCATTTGCAGCTCTGGCATTACGGAGTGCTCGCTTCTCTTGTGCCAAGATTGTCCTTCTGTGTTCATGTCTGGCAACCCTGGTAAACCAGGGTACGCCATGTCGGTCGATCATGCGCCAAGAGTTCCCAAGAGATGGTGTCGATATCCAGGGACTTGAGAGAGGCTCTCAGCGTGTCTTTGTATCGCTTCTTTTGTCCCCCGTGCGATCGCTTTCCTTGAGACAGCTCACCCTAGAAGAGCTGTTTAGGGATGCGATGGTCTGGCATCCTTACAACGTGGCCTGCCCAGCGCATCTGGGCTTTCATCAACAGAGTGTAGACTGATGATAGGCCTGCTCTGGAGAGGACCTCTGTATCTGGTATCTTATCCTGCCACCGGATCCTCAGAATTCTACGAAGGCAAGTCATGTGGAAGTAATTCAGTTGCCTGACGTGCCTCCTGTACACTGTCCAGGTCTCATTAGCATACATCAGGGTAGTTAGCACTGCTGCCTGGTAAACCTTAAGCTTAGTAGCAAGGCTTATTCCATGGCGGTCCCACACGTTAGTTCGCAGTCTGCCAAATGCAGAACTTGCCTTGGCAATTCTACAGTTGACCTCGATCTAGATAGTTTTTCAAACGACAGGCCGCTAGATGGCGCCCTTGGCACCCTCTTGGCCTCCCTTGCAGCCTTGGGGGAGTGGGGGTGGGGGGTGGCATCCTCACTAACACCCGGAGAACCAGCCAGCCAGCCGAGCTCCTGGATCCTCCACGTTATCAAAGCAGCCAGAGACACAAGGCGGCCTTTGGAGAAGCAGGAACCGGCATTTGGCCGATCCTGCAGCTAGAAGGCCCTGAGCTGCTCGCAGCCCCCAATTCCTTCCAGTCCAGCAGCTGTGGTCCCCCGAGACGTTTTCCGAGTTATCAGCTGCAAACTGGTCGTCCCAGGGGATCCAGGTGGAGGTTTCCCTGTCCAGGCGACGGACGTGTCCGACTCTTGGGGGAGGTGCTGGTCTCCGCTTCCTGGCATTCTCCGTGGTCCTGTGGCTAACACGGTTCCCTTCCCACCAAAGTGGAACCTCTTCATCTATTTATCTTACGGGGCACGGAAGAGGAGCCGGCCCCACGGCACAGAGCTTGGGTCTTGAACCCGGCCTTTCCAGCTGACAAGCTCAGCATCTTTAGTCACCGGGCCCTTGTGCCCTGCCCAAGATCTTATTTATTTATTTTATTGCTTTTAATTGTTTTTAACTGTTTTATAGTTTTAGACTTGTAAGAGTCACTTGGCTGAGATGGGCAGCAGTAGAATTTGAATGAATAAATGGATAAATAAAGGATAATAAATAAATAAAATTCTAAGAACCCATATACTGTAACCAAGCATGCGGCTGTCTTTAGAGCACCAGAGAGGCCGGCAGTCTTCCTGACAGACCATCTGTGGACATAAAGGGACAAGCCGGCTGCTTATTAAGGATAAACCAGGTTTGGGCCAGTAGTAGCTTTTGAAATCAGGAAATAGAAAAGGCCGGAAGCTTTACTGAGAGGGGGCCCAACTTGAAAGAGGGAGGAGGAGTTTATTTTTCTCCTGCCCAAGAAACAGTGGGTTAGCTTTCCTCCCGAAGCTGTGGGGGCTCCATTCCTGGAGGTTTTCAAGAAAAGTCCTTTTGTCCAGGAGGGCATGAAGATACCTGCACTGGCCCGGGGGATTGGACTAGATGACCTCCAAGGTCCCTTCCATATCTAGGATTCTACTACGTGTTGCAGATGCAGCTGTAGCTCCTGCCCCTAGCAGAAAAGAGGAGCCTTTTTGCTGCAAAGTGAGATAAAGCAGAACTCCAGACGGGAGCCCAACCAACCAACCAAGAGAAACTGGCCAGTTTGTTTGCCCCCCCCCCCTTCCTCAAAGCGAGAGGGAAGACAGGCAGGCAGCCCGGAGAGCTACGGGAAGCAAAGAGATTTGAGTCGGTGCTTCTCTTTTCTGCAGGAAGAATATATTCCCCCGAGCCACCACCGATTGAGGAAGAGAGGCTCTGATGGGGAAAGAAGGAAGTTTGGGCCTGTTTTTCTGCATAACTAATTTTTCACAATCTATTACACACCCAGCCTGCTACGGGGCGGGAAGACTCTCCGTGCCACAGACCTGTCATCGCCTTGCATGAATTCCGACACCCAAAGTTTCTCTTCCCACCTTGAAACTGCTGGGTGGCGGCAGCAGCCCAGCCTGATGAGACTCTCTTTGGTGGGGCTCCTCACGGGAGAAGGGAAGGACCCGAGGACCCCCCGCCCCTCTTCTCCAGAGAAGCCACATCGTTGAAGAAGTCTCCCTGGAGGCAGGTCGGTAAGGGTTTCTCTGGGCCATCAGAATGCTTGGGGGCCTCTTGGTTGGGTCCTTCTACCTCATCCCTTCTCTTTGGGGGAGTCTGCAGTTTCTGATACACACAGACACAGACACAGACACAGACACAGCTGTCTAATCCTCCCAAAAGTCACGACTGAGCCGAGAATTCTCTGCTACGTCTCCTTCTCCACTGACAGCACTGCAGCCCAATGCAGCCAGAGGGCAGAGATGTAGCTTGGGGGGCTTTTCAGTGCCAGCCCTTCCCCTGAAGAGGCAGAGGAGAAGACCCCCCCTCCCCCAGCCAGAGGGGGGGGGCTGAGTCACTGGTCTGTTTGGCAGAGGATCCTTCCCAACGCCTGGGGGGGAGGGGGGGCTGGAAGGGTGACCAGATTGCACTGCTATGTGAAACCCGGCCAAATGACACAACGCTCAACAATATTAACAGGTGACTGCCTCCCCAAGCAGGCAGGCCGGCCGGCCGGAGGGAGCAAGATGTTCACACTTGGAAGACGAGTGACTCACCCCTGGGAAAGGCGCCTCTCCCTCCAGGTGGCCAGCGAAGGCCCAGGTCTCTTGGGCGGGTCCCAGGCCTTCCCAGCCAGCTGCACAGCTTTCCTTCACCCAAACCCCTCAGACAGGCCCCCCCTCCCTTCCCCCCCNAGCTGCCCTTGAAGGCTGCCCAGAAATTCCAACTGGCCCAGGGTGGATTGCACTTCTTGGCCGTTTGCTTCTGGGTGCCACTCAAGGTGCCAGTTACCCACGAACCCTTCCTGGCACAGGGCCTGCTTATTTGAAGGACCCCTGCCTCCCATAATATCTGCCCATTGCTTCAATTTTGGCCAGGTTGGCATGCTCCAAGTTCTTCCGATTAAACGGTGCCATCCGTGGGGACCCTGGAAGTGTGTTTCCCTGCCATAGGCCCTGCCCTCTCCAATGAGGCTTCCCCCCCCAGGTTGTGGGCAGCCCCCACCCTGCTGTTGTTTCAAAGGGGCTTGAAGACTTGGTTTCTGTCCCAGGCCTTTGGTGAGGGAGGGTGAAGGCCCTTTGCTTCATTCCTATCCAATCTGTTTAATTTTTTTAAAAATAGGTATTACTGAATTTCCCTTGTTTTAAGTATTGTGAGCTGCCCGGGTTCATTGGGAATCTGGTGGCACACAAATTGAATCAAATTAAATAAAGGAAGAAATAAGAGAAAGAGTCTGGATCCAAGAAATGTATCCAGCCATGGATGCAGCTCCTTCATCAGCAGACACCCAACAGCTTGTCTTCGCTGCATCCCCAGCTAGGCTGGCTGGGGAATTCTGGGAGTTGAAGTCTTACGCTTAAAGTTGCCAAGGTTGAGAAAGACTGGTCTAATGTTGTTCGTCCATCCATTTTTCGATGAAGACCTTGACATCTTGTGGATTGTGGGCCATCAGCGGTGTGTCCGTAGATGGCTGATGAGACCGATGTTAGCACGGAATGTTCTGCCACATACTGAACCAGAGAAATGTGGACACTGTTGCTTCAGCATTTGCAGCTCTGGCTTTACGGAGTGCTCGCTTCTCTTGTGCCAAGATTGTGCTTCTATGTTCATATGTCTGGCACCCCTGGTAAACCAGGGTACGCCATGTCGGTCGATCATGTGCCAAAAATTCCCAAGAGATGGTGTCGATATCCAGGGACTTGAGAGATGCTTTCAGCGTGTCTTTGTATCGCTTCTTTTGTCCCCCGTGCGATCGCTTTCCTTGAGACAGCTCACCCTAGAAGAGCTGTTTAGGGATGCGATGGTCTGGCATCCTTACCACGTGGCCTGCCCAGCGCATCTGGGCTTTCATCAACAGAGTGTAAACTGATGATAGGCCTGCTCTGGAGAGGACCTCTGTATCTGGTATCTTATCCTGCCACCGGATCCTCAGAATTCTGCGAAGGCAAGTCATGTGGAAGTAATTCAGTTGCCTGACGTGCCTCCTGTACACTGTCCAGGTCTCACTAGCATACATCAGGGTAGTTAGCACTGCTGCCTGGTAAACCTTAAGCTTAGTAGCAAGGCTTATTCCACGGCGGTCCCACACGTTAGTTCGCAGTCTGCCAAATGCAGAACTTGCCTTGGCAATTCTACAGTTGACCTCGATCTAGATAGTTTTTCAAACGACAGGCCGCTAGATGGCGCCCTTGGCACCCTCTTGGCCTCCCTTGCAGCCTTGGGGGAGTGGGGGTGTGGGGGGGTGCCACCCTCACTAACACCCGGAGAACCAGCCAGCCAGCCGAGCTCCTGGATCCTCCACGTTATCAAAGCAGCCGGAGACACAAGGCGGCCTTTGGAGAAGCAGCAACCGGCATTTGGCCGATCCTGCAGCTAGAAGGCCCTGAGCTGCTCGCAGCCCCCAATTCCTTCCAGTCCGGCAGCTGTGCTCCTCCGAGACGTCCGAGTATCAGCTGCAAACTGGTCGTCCCAGGGGATCCAGGTGGAGGTTTCCCTGTCCAGGCGACAGTGTCCGACTCTTGGGGGAGGTGCTGGTCTCCGCTTCCTGGCATTCTCCGTGGTCCTGTGGCTAACACGGTTCCCTTCCCACCAAAGTGGAACCTCTTCATCTATTTATCTTACGGGGCACGGAAGAGGAGCCGGCCCCACGGCGCAGAGCTTGGGTCTTGAACCCGGCCTTTCCAGCTGACAAGCTCAGCGTCTTTAGTCACCGGGCCCTTGTGCCCTGCCCAAGATCTTATTTATTTATTTATTTTATTGCTTTTAATTGTTTTTAACTGTTTTATAGTTTTAGACTATAGTAAGAGTCACTTGGCTGAGATGGGCAGCAGTAGAATTTGAATGAATGAATGGATAAATAAAGGATAATAAATAAATAAAATTCTAAGAACCCATATACTGTAACCAAGCATGCGGCTGTCTTTAGAGCACCAGAGAGGCCGGCAGTCTTCCTGACAGACCATCTGTGGACATAAAGGGACAAGCTGGCTGCTTATTAAGGATAAACCAGGTTTGGGCCAGTAGTAGCTTTTGAAATCAGGAAATAGAAAAGGCCGGAAGCTTTACTGAGAGGGGGGCCCAACTTGAAAGAGGGAGGAGGAGTTTATTTTTCTCCTGCCCAAGAAACAGTGGGTTAGCTTTCCTCCCGAAGCTGTGGGGGCTCCATTCCTGGAGGTTTTCAAGAAAAGACCTTTTGTCCAGGAGGGCATGAAGATACCTGCACTGGCCCGGGGGATTGGACTAGATGACCTCCAAGGTCCCTTCCCTATCTAGGATTCTACTACGTGTTGCAGATGCAGCTGTAGCTCCTGCCCCTAGCAGAAAAGAGGAGCCTTTTTGCTGCAAAGTGAGATAAAGCAGAACTCCAGACGGGAGCCCAACCAACCAACCAAGAGAAACCGGCCGGTTTGTTTGCCCCCCCCCCTTCCTCAAAGCGAGAGGGAAGACAGGCAGGCAGCCCGGAGAGCTACGGGAAGCAAAGAGATTTGAGTCGGTGCTTCTCTTTTCTGCAGGAAGAATATATTCCCCCGAGCCACCACCGATTGAGGAAGAGAGGCTCTGATGGGGAAAGAAGGAAGTTTGGGCCTGTTTTTCTGCATAACTAATTTTTCACAATCTATTACACACCCAGCCTGCTACGGGGCGGGAAGACTCTCCATGCCACAGACCTGTCATCGCCTTGCATGAATTCCGACACCCAAAGTTTCTCTTCCCACCTTGAAACTGCTGGGTGGCAGCAGCAGCCCAGCCTGATGAGACTCTCTTTGGTGGGGCTCCTCACGGGAGAAGGGAAGGACCCGAGGACCCCCCCCCCCCTCTTCTCCAGAGAAGCCACATCGTTGAAGAAAATCTCCCTGGAGGCAGGTCAGAAAGGGTTTCTCTGGGCCATCAGAATGCTTGGGGGCCTCTTGGTTGGGTCCTTCTACCTCATCCCTTCTCTTTGGGGGAGTCTGCAGTTTCTGATACACACACACAGACACAGACACAGACACAACCGTCTAATCCTCCCAAAAGTCACGACTGAGCCGAGAATTCTCTGCTACGTCTCCTTCTCCACTGACAGCACTGCAGCCCAATGCAGCCAGAGGGCAGAGATGTAGCTTGGGGGGCTTTTCAGTGCCAGCCCTTCCCCTGAAGAGGGGGGGGGCTGAGTCACTGGTCTGTTTGGCAGAGGATCCTTCCCAACGCCTGGGGGGAGGGGGGGGCTGGAAGGGTGAGCAGATTGCACTGCTATGTGAAACCCTGCCAAATGACACAACGCTCAACAATATTAACAGGTGACTGCCTCCCCAAGCAGGCCGGCCGGCCGGAGGGAGCGAGATGTTCACACTTGGAAGACGAGTGACTCACCCCTGGGAAAGGCGCCTCTCCCTCCAGGTGGCCAGCGAAGGGCCAGGTCTCTTGGGCGGGTCCCAGGCCTTCCCAGCCAGTTGCACAGCTTTCCTTCACCCAAACCCCTCGGACAGGCCCCCCCTCCCTTCCCCCCCGTCCCTCTGAAAGGCCAGCCTCCCCCTGAGCCAGGTGGGCCTTGCAGGTGGGGCGCTTTCCTTTTCCCCAACAGCACCCAGGCCCTTGCCAGGCTCCACAACGGAGCTACCATCCCCGCTGCGGCTGGGCTTGCTGTGGCTTCTACGGAAAGGCCCGGCCCCTCAAATCCCTCCCAGAATGGAGGGAGCCAAAAAATGAAGACTGTCAAAAGGCAAAGTGGCCTTGCAGATGCTTAAGGCACCTGTTTTCCCCTCCCTTCTGAAAAAAAGGTCTCCCCCTGCTTGCTTCTAAACACAATCTTTCGGATGGGCAGAAGCTCCAAGGCTGGCCATCGCAGGAGAGGGTCCCTTAATCATGGGACTCCCTTTGTTTTTTTCTTGGAGACGGTTCGCTTCTCACCCAAGACGCTTCTTCAGAACTGATGAGAAGACATGAAATGCCTTCAAGGAAAAAGAAAGTCCAGTTGTGCCTTTTGAAAAGCTCCTCTGGGACAACCGTGACCCGGAGGACTGACGATTTCCACAGAGGTCCCTTGATCCTGGCTGAGCTCCTCCAACGGCAACTTTTCACTCACACAGCGTCGTGCCTGCTTTTCAGAGGGGGGGGACCCTGCTCCCACCTCTGCTCGGGCGTCTCAATTCCTAGGGGCCACGGAAGCCCAACGAGAGAACGCCGGCCTCCTCCCTCTTCCCGGGCAGGGTCTCACCTGTGTTGTACGCCGTGGGCATCGCTGAGAAGGGCAGCCCCTGGGTCAGCAGGCTGGGCGTGGCCACCGAAACGACCGGCGTGGTCAAAGAATGCGTGGCTTGAGACACCATGAGTCTTTGGGCGTTCTGCTAAGGGAGAGAAAGAAAGAGACAGGGAAGCTGAAAGAGGAGGAGGGGGTGGGCTTTCAGAGAAGGGGCTCTCGGACGTTTGCCTCATGGGGAAGGCGCAAGTCCCTCACATCGGAGCCTCATGCCAAGGAAAGCAAGGGAAGCCGGTGGTCCTCGGGGCTACTGGATGCCATTCCTCCCAATGTGCCATCCTGAGGATGGAGGTCTTCTCTCCCCCTGAATGCTTCTCCCCTGCCCCCAGGCACTCCGTGGGCCATGGCTGAGGGAGCAGGGCCAGGTGCAGCCCAGGGCCAGGGCAGTAAATCTGGGCTCTCCAGGCGCTTCGCCCTTGTTCAGCACTGGGCTGACGAGAGCAAAATGGGAGCTGTGAACACAGCCGACTGTCCTCTGCGGCGCAAAGACCCTGGAGCCCTCGGGGGTCGTCTTGAACTGCTCAACCCTTTCCTGCCAATGGAGGCTCCGTGGTTCACCATGGCCACACATGGCTCAGGCATGTGGCAAACCGCACCTCTCACAGCTTGACCCCCCCCCCCGGTTGCCTTGCCCGTTCAACCCCACAAGGCACCACCTCTGCCAACCTCAAAGCTCCCTGGCTCCTCCCAGGGCTCCTCTGGAGCTGGAAAAAGGGGGGGGAGAACGCCCTGCCCTCCTGAGCTCTCGGGCAATGCAAAGGAACATCTGGTTCTCACCAGATACGAAACCTAAAGCTGGACTAATAAAAGGCCACTCCAGGGCTCGTTTCGCCTGTAATGCCTGAACCATCACCCACCTTCTGGCTGGGCTCACCTCATGCTAGGGCAGCGGTTCTCAACCTGTGGGTCGGGACCCCATTTGGGGTCGATCGACCATTTCATGGGGGTCGCCATTTTTTTTGTCCGCCATTTTTTCCCCCTTTTCCGGCGGGTGCCTTACCTCCCTTGGGCTGGGCCAGCTGGTGGTCGGCCTGCTCCGTCTCTGCCGCTTGCCAGCTACGCCTCGGCCGGCGCAGGGGGCGGAACCACGCATGCGCGGCGCTCCCGGGCAGGGAAAGTCCTCGACTTACGACCGGTTTAGTCCTCGACTTACGACCGGTTGGGGTTGTGGCATTAAAAAGGTTGAGAACCACTGTGCTAGGGGAATGGCAGGATCCAGACACGCCGAGCCAAACGTCTTAGCCCAGTTTAGCTAAGAGAAGCATGTTGGCCAAACCAGCCAAGAAGGTGAAGGTGGAGAGTATCCCCCCACCCCTAAGCAGTGGGACAGGGGCTGGCTTTCAACACCCGGACGGAGCTGCCTTCCTCCTCTTCCTCCTCCTCCTCCTCGTGTCCAGAAGCCCACCCCAGGTTTCCCCCTCTCTGGACCCCTCCTTGGCCCTCAGAGCATCTTCTGTCTCCTGATCCTCCATGCCAAAGGCGCCCCGGCTGAGAGGTGGGGCAGGGGCCTGGGTAGGCAGGGACAGGTCCAAGGCAACTGAGGAGGGGTCCTTGCTTCAGGGTTTACACTGAAGAGAGATCCGATTCCCTACAATCCTCTCATTGATCCCAACGGACACACAATGCGTATCGTTTATGCAGCAACAAAATGTTATTGCATTTCACCCCAATTTCTCCTCCCACCAGTAACGCCCACAAGTGCAGACCTTCTTCCCTCCCCTTGGAAACTCCTACAGCAATCCAGTGTGTACGTGTGTGGGGGAGCCCATGGCTGAGTGTGGACTAGACCCCACCACCTCTCCCACTGTGAGCAGTAGCCAACCTTATTCCAGGGGGAAGAGGGAGACCTCCCCCCCCATGCCTGGCCTTGAGCCCTCCTCCTCCCCTCTCAAGGGACACCAGAGCCCCCCAGTGCTCGAGAGGGGAGTCCCTCCCGGTAAAGGAAAAGCCCCCTGGGCAGTGCCCGGCCTGGGTGTGGCAAGGACAATGGCTCCTCACTCAGGGAAGCAAAGCAACTGCCCCTCCCCCACGGGCACCTTTGGCCCCATTTCTGCTCTGCTTCCTCTGTCATGAGAATCTTGCTTCAGAGGGGGGTGCTGAACCTCTTCCAAAACAATTTGGGGGGGCCCTTGGGTCCCCAGGAAGCAGCGCTCCGGCTCTTAGCCTGGGGTGCCTCCATCGGCACCCCAGCAATGTGCCAAGCTCTCTTCTAGGGACGTGGGCACAGGATGCAGCAGAGGCTCAGAGGGGCACATCCACCATGGGCCAGATCCAGTGGGCTAACTGGGCTGCGTTAGGGAGAATACTGGTGATCAGTGCCGGGGGAGCCACGGCACCCCCCACGGGGGCAGTGAAGAGAGGCAGCCCCCGCCTCTCACTCGATGGCAGGACCCAAAGGAACCCGATGGAGCATGCAACAAGGGGGTGCTGCGTGGTGGGGGGAGGATTGGGGGCCAATTCTCACCAAGGAAGGGCAAGAGAGAGGGCGATCTGGCCCAAAGAGGAGCCTGTCAGAGTGAGAGCTGCCAATGCTGGGGGGTGGGGGGTGGAGACAGGCAATTTATGCAGTTGGCAAGCATGCACCCCCAGGAGGAAAACCACCCAGACCCCTCAGAAGAGGCCAGAAGCCTATGTAGAAGCCCGTTTTCTCTAGGAGGCCCCAACATCCAACTCACCATTTTAGGACAGCAGTTGCCCAAAGATCTTTGTGTATGCATACAGACAAACACACACACACACACACACACATACACACACACACAGGCACACCCATGCATAACTTACCAGATCCAACTGATCGTCCGTCTGGATGCAGAATAAAAATGAAAGCAAAGGAAACTTATTACATTTAATTCCTAATTCTGATATTGCTTCCCACATTCATTGAGAATTCTATTTCATTTGTGGATCACAAAAAGTCACTTCTGTGCTAATTCATCTAATTTTTTTTTTTTAAAGCCTGGGGAACTTCCAGATGGAAAACATCAATGCAGGAAATAGTTACCTTAATTTTGGAACTGTCTGGCTGCACCTAGGCAAACTCTGCCCAAAGCGGCCCTCTCGTGGATACTATATCAACCCCTTTGACAAAGCGTATAGGACAGAAGTGTCCAACCTTGGCAACTTTAAGACCTATGGACTTCAACTCCCAGAATTCCCTAGCCAGCATTGCAAACCGATGCAATCTTGCAGATCAATGCCATTAATTAGATAGACAAACAGATTAAAATAATTTTGCTAGACCAAAGTGGAGCTTTGGGAAAGCCAAAGCTTGATTTCAGTAGAAAACAGAATTTTGCCTGCCAAGAGGCTGTTCCCATAAAAGGCTGAGGGGGGGCATTTTCTTTAGACAGATCCAAACGGCCCATTTTAGGGCAGCTGATACAGAAGAGGGTCAGACTGGACTGGGACATCAATGTCGGCAAGCCCCGCCCCACTTCCTGTCTTCAGAGGGTCTAAGAGCCTCGCAAACAATCGCTTGGCCATCTCCGGTCACAAAGAAGCATCCTCTGACTAGAAGGCAGATGTTTTGTGCATTCACAAAGAGGAACGGAAGACTGGGAGGAATTTCAGGGTTCAGATCCTCGCAGTTGGACTCACCAGGTGCTGCATGAGGCCTTTCCCGCCCTGAGAGGTGATGACACGGAGGTCCGGCTTACGGATGTTCGTGGCCAGTGGGTTGCTGTGTGTGGGAGGCGGCGGGGGTGACTTTGCTGGGACGGCCTTGCCTAAACTGTTTCCGTTGGAGACGGGGAGGAGATTCGGGGAGGCCCTGGCGCTGACGTAGCCGTTGCCTGCAGGAGAGGACAAAGCCATCTGAATGTCTCCCTTCTCCACTGCAACCAATGCAAATTATATGTTCCTGAAATAACCAACCCCAGGTTTTCTTACTTGCACAGGGTTTCTGAAGGCCCACCCCGGAGCAGCGAGCAGAGACGGCTTTTGCTGAAACACGAGCTCTCCGGAGGCAATTTGGATGGACAGGGCAGGGACCACCAGCCCTAAGCTGGTGGTCCCTGTCACTCTGAGCCGTCTGAGCCCATCCCAGAACCAACCAGGGATACCAAGCAGGCCAGGGCGCTCTCCCTTTGGTGGGTGCCAACATGCCAGTAAATGGAGAGGTCGGCGTTAGCACTTAGCACTAGCCCTTAGACTTATATACCGCTTCATAGTGCTTTACAGCCCTCTCTAAGTGGTTTACAGAGTCAGCCTATTGCTGGGTCCTCATTTTACCGATCTCGGAAGGATGGAAGGCCGAGTAGCCCGATGAGATTTGAACTGCTGAACTGCACCACCACGGCTCATAGCCCCCAACATCACGGGGCCATCCGACCACGGCAGTTGCCAAGGGGCAAAGGGCACCTGCCATCTTCCTAAAGGCATCTGTGGGCTCGTTCTGTATCCCTTTGCCCTGGCATTCCTTAGGCACCCAGGAACGCCCTTCAGTGGGCTTGGTGCCCGGGCTGGCTCTGCAGGCCTCTGCCTCCCCCAGCCGCTGCCTGGCTGCTTATAGCCTCAGCAGCTGGGTGGGTTCATCTGAGCCGCAGACCAGAAGCCTCCACTTGCCCAACAGCACCATCACCCAGTTGGCTTCCCACCGGCCGAGAAATTAGGGGAGCTGCGGCCTCAGCAGAGGCGGTTTTGGTCAGCCCAGAGTCCCTGGCACAAGCTTTAAAGGCGGGTTTCTCAACCTTGGCAACTTTAAAATGGGCAGACTTCAACTCCAGGCTGGCTGGGGAATTCTGGGAGTTTTAGCTCACCCATCATAGAATGGCCAGAGTGGAGAAACGCTGCTTTAGTGTAAGCAGCAAAACTTTGGGGGGGGGGGAAGGGGGGCACAGATTTAACCTCCCATGTAAAGTGGCAGGGAGCCTGAGCCTGGCCTGGCGCTGCGCCCAAGCGCCAAGACGTGGCCTCTGCCAGCGCCCTGCGGCCCTCTGCAGCCGGAGAGGAGAGCCCAGAGAAAGTGGTCCCGGGTGGCCCTCCAGGTCTCGCGCAAGCCTGCCCAGGGCTCTCCCTGCTCCCATTTCCTGGAACGAGGGGAATGTTTTCGTGACGTCAATGCTGACATTCAGGGACCTTGCCAAGTTGCAAGCTGGAACAGCCGCTCACAACAGCTGACGTGGGGGCTGCTCTGGCAAACGGAGAGGAGCCGGGAGGGGCAGAGGGGGCCTGGGCTAAGACTGATCACTTTCCCCACAATCAGCAGGGCCTCTCCCTCTCTGGGACCCTGCAGCCCGGTTCCTCCTCTGAGACCCCCCCACCCTCTCCTCGGCAGAGTCTTGTGGCCAGCAGCCCTGCTGGGAAGGAAGATGCCCGCTGGACCTCAGTGCCCGGCTGCCTCTCCTGGAGCTTCCAGGGGCTGCCGCTCTCTTCCGCCTCCAAGCCCCCTTTTGCCAACCCCCCAGGGCAGCTTCGACCGCTTGGGCCTTTGCTGTGTTTCATTCTAAAAATTTAACTTTTTAGCACGTGAAGCATGCTAAAAAACATCAAAGCCACTGATGGGCTGCCCTCAAGGAAGGTGCTGAAGCTGGTTACGGAATTTTTCTGTGTTCCTCCAGTCACCAGTCTCCAGTGGGCTCAGCTAAAAGAGGGGGTTTTTTTTTGGGGGGTGAGGGATCCAGGGCAGCCCTTCCTGGCCAGAAAGATGGGAAAGAGCGAAGGAAGTTGCTCATGAAGCCGGACAAGGCCAGCAGGAGTCCTGCCTGTTGGCTCTAACTGGTCAGGGCATCACCAGGCCGAGAATGGCTTCTCTCTCCCCTCCGCCTGGCACAGACAGGAGAGGGGAGGGTCCCCAGAGCCCCAGAGAGGCTGGCTGGCTGGGTGTGCACAGCCACTCGGGCACAGCAGAGCCGGTGACAGACCGCTTGGGCCGGCCAGGATGCTGCCTCTCTGCCTGCTGACACGCTGTAATTAAGGGCAGAATCGTCAAAATAGGGATCTGGCCGTATTTCTGAAGCAACGCAGAACGGCTGTCCTCTGAAGGAGGATTCTAGGCAACGGCCGGTTTTGAAACCGACAGGGACAAATAAGGAAAAGGCCGCCTCTAATTGAAGCCTGGGCAGAAAAACTGGCTGGCCTGGACCCCGCCAGTTTTGGGCTCCACCCGAGGCCGTCTCTCCCTCTGGGGCAGCTTCCCTGAAGGAGCCTGCAAGGGAGGTTTTTCCGCCGCTCAGCTTCCCCACTGCCCAAGGCGGCTTCTCTCTCCGGTGCCGGGTTTGGCCTCAGCCACTTTGACCTGCTGGCTGGCAAAAGGGGGGGTGGCACAGAACAGCCCCCTTTGTTAGGATTCAATGTTTCTCTAGTGGAGAAATAAGGTTTCTAACCTGGCGGAGATGGCAAAAATCTCCGCGTATTTGAAAGATCAATATCAGGAAAGATATATTAAAATATGGGAAAGATGGATAGTTTATATACAGAAGAGATATGAGATAAAAAATTATCATGTAGGTTATGAATAAATTTTTTTTCTTATGTTAGTAGAATGAATGTTATGAAGGGGGTTAAAGAAATTAGGATGTTGTTTATTTTAAAATTAGAGAGTATGGTAGATAAGTTGTGGATATTATAATGGCTTGGTAACCCTGTGTTCAGTTCTGGGAAGCGAGGGAGGGGAAGGGGGGGGAAGGGAGGGGAAGGGGGATAATGGGGTGGGGGGAGAGTCGGGATGGTATTATAAGTATGCATTAATAGTTATATAACTAAAATGTGTAATGTTAGAATTGAAACGTATGTATGTTAATGCATTCTATGTATAATTTTTTCTACTTTAAAAATAAAATTTAAAAAAAAAATATGTTTCTCTAGAAGGGGGAGAGGCCCCCAAACACAAGGTAAGGCACCTTCAAAGGTGGCCTCTTCTCTCGGTTTTTTTTTGGGGGGGGGTTATGGCTACCTAAGACAACCCCCCCTCTAAATATGTATGTATTTATGTATGTATAAAATTCTCAACACACATTCAGACACAATATAAAGAATTGTTGATCAACATTCAGGCTAGTGGCAGAGGGAATCCAATCTGCACAAGGCGAGGGGATCGACTGGTTCTCCCTCATGTGAAATTCCCTCCCCCTCCACTGACTTGCTCCTTTGGTGTCTCAAGCTCCCCCCTTCCTTCTTGGACACCCCAAAAAGGCTGTCTTGGCAGAAGGAGCCAAAACTGCAAGTGGGGGGGGGGAGGGATGGGGGGGGAGAAGTAGGGACAAAGGCCACGGGGGGGGCGCCTCAGAGCCTATGCAAAGTGCTGGGGCCTTCCTGGGGTGACCCCCGAGCTCCGCCAGAGCCTCTTCCCTTCTGGAGGGGCAGCCTCCTGAACCTCCCCCGGCTGCCCCTGCCGCAGCTACTCACCCACCGGGCTGGGACAGGCTCCATTCGTGTTGCCGAGCTCCCCTCCGAGCATCGCCCCTAGGAAGAAGGCCAAGGGTCAGTTGCATCTGGAGCCACCAGAGACCCCCTGCTTCTCTAAGCCCCCCTTTCCAAGGGAGGGGGGAAATCATGGCACCTCCATGACTGCCACCTCCCTTAAGTCCTCAGGCGAGGCCTGTCCAGAGCTGGGCATCCCAAGCATATCTACATGTGAAAATCATGTCTGGACACACCCGAATCACATTTCAGATCAACCACAACGCATAAAAAAAAAAGACCAGAATTGTAAACTGCCCCCATTTATGGCCGTTTGCCATGTCCCATGGCCATAGGACTACAATTTATGATTTATTTATTTTTTGCCAAAAACCAGTATTTACTTCCAGTTTTTGGCCAAAAGCTCATAGTAAACAATGAGTTCACTTAACAGCAGTTGCTTAGTGGATTCACTTAACAACCGTGGTGATGTGCTTAATGACCACCACAAAAAAAAGATCATAAAATTGCATTGGTCATGGGATGACCTGCTTTATGATCTTCACAACTTACGATCAAACTGGGCAAGCTCCAACACAGTCATAAGTCCAGGACTGCCTGTCCTTGTCTACCCACAGCGTACACATGGCCAAGGTTGACCCCGCTGGCCTCCTGTTCTTTCCCCAGCGCTGAAAGGTGGGCTGTGGAGATGCCCCAGGCCAGAGCTCACCCACTGGCGCTCGGCAAACCGTGGCCTGGATGTCCAAAGGAGCTCCTTCGGTTGCTTTTGCTTTCTCTCTTTTCTTTCTTCTGAGTTTGCCCAATTCCTTTTACACTGCCTAAGAACCCACCAGGGAGAAGAAGGAAGGGAGAAGGCCGTACCTGCGCTGGCCGGCCTCTGCGGGAGCGCCGGGGAGACGGTGTTGCGCTGGAGGGCTGGCTGTTGCGGGGACAACAACCGGGGGTCGGTCAAGGAGGACGTCACTAGCGATGGGGTCACCAGGGAGCCCCCGGGGTTGCTGAATGGCAGGGCGTTCTGGTTGGCCATTGGCACCGTCACAGGCATGGCAAAGTTGGGAGCAGGAACGGAGGACTGGAGAGAAAAGGGGCAGGAAAGCCGGCTGAGGGGGAGCCGAGGGGGAAGGCTCCTCCGCCACCGGCTGTCCTGCGCTTCGCGGGAACCCACCACTCAGCGACAAGAGTCTGTCGGAGACTTTTGATTCCAAGGAATCCGGGAGGGACCAATGGCCGGCCGGCCTCCCAGGCCCACAGATTAGGGCAATGCCGTGAGCTCGGAATGTTGGGAGGCGAACAAAACCTCTGACAGAAACCCCCACCACCCCCCGGTTCATCCCACAGACCAAGCAGGACGGAGGGCGTGAAACTCGTCAGCAAGCAAAAATAATCCCGAAAGTCAAAGACAGAAATAAAGGGAGAGAGCAGGTAAGAAGTAGTTAGCAACCTCAGTCTGACACAAACTGGGCAAGAACAAAAGTAACAACCACTCATCTCCACTCCCAGCGAGGTCAGGAGCCCTCCTTGTTCTGCAGCCACTCCAGAGATGCATTTTGGGTCTGGCAAAGGGAGCAGCTTGTGAGATGAGCAAGCAGGACAGCCGGGGTGGGAGGAGGGGGGCGCTAAAAAACCGATTAGTTCATTTTTATATGAGCTTATTACAAGCTGCCCATCTCCAAAGGAGCGAGAGAGTCGGGCATGTTAATTGGAGAGGGGAGCCAGTCACACAAGAGTCTCGGATGGCAAGAAATGTTCTTCTTCGCTAGCAGTTGGGAAACATCTGGGAGGGGCTGTCTTCAGGGTGGGGCCATTTAAGCGGGGGTGGGGAGGACTTTTTGCAGGAATGCTGCTAAGTGGAGATCTAAATCCAGCAGCAAGGTGGACTAGCTGCCCTCTGAGGTCCCTGCAGGGGTCCTTGGTGTGAAAAGCAAGGCCCTGGGCTCCTTGGGCTTCCGGGGTGCCCGTCCACTCCAGAGAAGGTGTCTCCTCCCCAGGGTAACTAGCAGATGCCTCCAGCATCGTCTTTTCGATGCCAGTTGAGAATATTCACTCCTTCCCACCTTTAAAGCCATGGTTCAAATCACTACAAGATTCTGGTGGTTTTAATTCCTCTATTTATTAGATGGCCGCAGCACTTTTCCTGCATTGCTTTTGACCTTGGCTGCATTTGAATTTTTCAGAGGTTGCTGTATTGTGGCAAAGGGGGGTGGGGGAAACCTTAACGGGGGTGCGGGTGGTGCGTATGTGAGCGTGCAAAGCTGCAGTCCTTGAGGATGCGCCGAGCAGCCTCCACCGCAGCCGCTGCCCTTCCGGAGGCTGCGGCCTTCTCTGCTGGGCGTGCCCCTTTTCCACAGGTAAGGGCAGATCTTGACCGGAGGCTGCTCGATCAGCAGGGCCCCAGAGGGAGCAGCCAGAAGGGCCTGGCCCTGGCCCCGGCTTTGTAAGGGTGAAATCTGTGGGAAGTGACCTCTCTGGAATCTAACCAGAGCAGAGCTGCTTTCTCCCCATGCCGGACTCAGCCGAAAGCCCTGGCCCCCTTGTCTTTCACACCCCGTTGCCTTGGGACCGTGAACATGCCACTTCCCATTGTCTTTCACACCCCATTGCCACCCCCCAGCCTCCTCTTGGTCTCATGAACAGATTGGACCCTGTGGGGCAGGAAGAGAAGAAAAGGGAGGTTGAACTGCCGGGAGCTGCAAAGGAAGCCCACAACCTGTGGGTCCGGCTCTGGGGACGACACCAAAGCCCTGGCCAGGCACAGCTTGGGTTACTAGTTAGTTAGGCAGAGGGTTGGGGTTAATTCTCTCGGGAAGCTCATGCACCCCCTCTCCTCCCAAACCGCCTCCATCTTCACCCCCTTCAGCGCTTCTGGGACAAATCTGTGACTCTGGAGGGGGGGGCACCTTCAGCCTCTGGAGCCAGTTCAAGGCCCGATATTCTCCTGCTAGCCCCTCACTTGCTCAGGCGGGGAACCCAGATGAGGCACCCCACAGCCGTCCCTGTCCAGGGCGACTCCAGGCGCTTCCTCTCAAGCCAGTTTCAGGCCACACCACCCTCAAAGGGGGGAAGGAGAACAGGCGCCAACCACCTTTGGGTCTCCTGCCCACCAGAAGCAAAGACGGCCTGTTTTACAGCTGGTCTTCAAGACCCTCAAACCAAAGGAGAGTGGAAAGGAGATAGAAACGCTACCAAGCCCTGGGGCGGAGTGGGTGGGTATTACAGGATGGAATTTTTTTACATTTTGTAAAAAATGTGCCGAGTCACCTATGTGAGTCTTCGGTGGTTATATATATTTATTTAATAAATACATACTAAATAAATAAAGCCAGTCTGGCCTGATGCCCAGAGGGAGTGGGGGGGGCAGGCTACCGGCCACAGAGTCTTTCCTGTTTCTCTCCTGGGGGGGAACCTGGGTCAGAAAGCATGGAGGGCAGGGCTGCTTTCATTTCCTGGCAGGGTCCCTTCCTTCTTGATCTCCTCAGGGGACCAGGCCCCCTTTGCTTCCCCCTAGGCATATGGGAAAGTCTCGGCCAGGCGAGCGGATGTCGGGGAAGTGTCCACACGCGTGTTAATGACTCAAGGACGTGCAGGGCTGGCACAATGTGCAGGGCACACATCCGGCAGCCGCCCTTGCCATGCGGAGGGGAGCGAGTGGGCTGCCCCCCATTACTCACTGTGAGCCTGTAAGTCTGCATCATTTTATCAAACTCCTCATCAATCTTTTTATACTTCTCTTCAGTCTGGGGTGTCAGGGTAAAGATGTCCTCCCCGTCGGGACTCTCCCCCTCTCTATGCTTCTTGTTCAGCACCTGTCAGCCAGTGGGGAAGGGAGGTCGGGGGTGGGCAGGGGGCGTCGAATCCAACAAACAAACGAGAACAAGAGAGAGAGAGAGAGAGAGAGATGGTGAGGGGCTTCTGGCCGGCTGGGGGTGGCTACTTACGCCGTAGCGCTTGAAGAAGTTGTCCAGGTCCTCACTGGCTTTCCGGTATTTGTCCTCCGTCAGCGGGCTCTGGTCAATGGAGTCTTCCCCGTCGGGTTCGGGACTCTCACAACCATTAAAACCTTTCTTTCTTAAGGTCTGAAAGCACAACCGGGAGACGTTCAGGTGGGACCTCGCCCAGCCTTGGTAGATGGCAGAGGGGTTGCCACCCAGCAGGGGATGGGAGTCCAGGTGCCACCGGCTCAACCCAACGAACCTTTCCTTTCCTCACTCCCACCCCTCAGCCACACAACAGTCCCCTCCCCTGGGCCTTCCCTGCCGTTCCCGATTCCACTCGTCCACCTGCTGGGTCAGTGTGGTCAGTTCTGCTTCCTGCAGAGAATGGCAGGTTGAATTATAACTGAACTCCAGAACTGAATTCCAGGAAAAAAAAAAAACCCGAACTGGACAGAGATCCCATAGATCTGGAGGAATCTTGAGATCCTGCCTGGCAGCTCTTGAGCGGCCGCTCGAGACCAATCTCTTCCCCGACAGGAGAGAAGCGGCCCCACACTTCCCGTGTGTCAGGAGAACATCAAACGCCGTGTTTACCAAGTATTTATTCCAGGCATGGCAGCTGATTTGAAGGCTGCCTCCCTCCTCTGCCACGCTTAATCACTGTGTTTTCAAAATACCAGAAGCAATTAGACCCCATTACGGAGCTCCCACTTGCCAGCTCTTTTTAAAAGTCAGCTTGTGGCGAGGTTGTGGAGAAGTCTTGATCTCTTGTTGGGCTAATGAGGAATTGAAAGGGGTCTGTGTGTGTGTGTGTTTGTGTTTGTATATGTGTGTGTGTGTGAGAGAGATTCCAAACATCACTGGCCATTTTGGCAAAAAAGAAAAGCCTTTTCTGGATTAAATCCAGGCCCCAAACAGCAGGCAAATGTGGTCGTGAACACTCGGGACTTTTTTTCTCCAATGTACACCTACTGGCATGTACTGTGGGTGACCATTATTAATTCATGGAATTATAATTTTAGAAAGGACGAAAAGGGAGCTGACTTTGGGTGAGAAAGACCCAGAATCCAATAGCCTGAGCCATCGGGGCCAGAGGAGGTGGCCGGCACGTATCCCGGCTGCGATTCAGGCACTGGGCAAGGCTTAGAGCAGCTGTCCTCTTCCCTTCCCCCTCCGGGAAGGACAGCTCAGCCCCCCCCCCATGCCCTTTCCAGCTCTGGTGCAGCCAAGGAAGGGGGGGCGGCCTCTCCTGGGTGGGGCTGCCCCATAGGCCAGCTTCGGCCTTCAGAAGAGGAGGAGGAGGAGGAGGAGGAGGAGGAGGAGGAGGAGGTGGTTCCGGAGCCCAGAAGGACCAGGGAGACCCAGGAGGGCACCTTCCCACAGCCACCAAAAAGGCCTCTCCGTGGGATATAAATTTAGTAAATAAATGAACAAACAAACAAACAAAATAAAAATAAGACTCCTGTTCATAACCAGCCTGGCAGCTGCGCTGAAAAACCAGCACAAAACAGAGAAGGCAACAGCCACATCCGGCTTCCTGGCCTTCCATCTGGCTTCAGCCACCGCAGCCAGTGCGGGACGTGGCTCCTCTCAAAGTGGTCCAGATGTGGCCCACGTGGGGTGCAACTGCGCAGCCCCTGCTGATCTTGGCTCTGACTCGCAAGGATGATCCTGCAATCCTGTCCTTTGCAGGATCATCCTTTGTGTGTGTGTGTGTGTGTGTGTGTACGTGAACAAAGACCCAAGAGGGAAACTCCACTTGGAGGTGGGGGGGGGGAGGGTTGTAAGCAGCAAAGGGGCATCCTCTCCCCAAGTTCAGGGGAGACCCCAAGGCTTGAACTCAGACGGGGGAGCAAGAGCCACCCCATGAGCTCAGGAAGGGGGGGGGGAAGGCAATCAAAAGGGAAAAACGCAGCAAAGCCCCACCAGCCTCACAAAAGGGCCACCAAGCGCCAGGCTTTTGCTGAGGCCCACTTCCTCTGAGCCCAGCCCCCACACTGGGCCACCCATCTCAGGCAGAAAGTTTGTGCCAAGGAAGATGGGGGGGGGGGAGATGCAATGGATAAGCTCTCCCCATGATTCCTCCCTCCTCCCTCTGCTTCTTAGTGTCACTGGATTTCCCCCTCCCCCAAATAAAACTGGGCCAAGCAGGATCTTTCTGCAGCCCTTCGCTGCCCCCCTGGCAAACAAGCAGGGCACCTTGAGCCGCCAGGAGCTGAAGGCGGAGGAGAGCCCAGGGCAGTGGCTCAGGTGGTCTTTGGGAGAGGGACTGCAGACCCCTGCCAGATGAGGCGAGGCTGCGGGGGGGCGGTGAGATTCAGAAAAGGAGGGGAGAAGACAGACTGGGGCTAGAAGTGTGGGTGGAAACCCACAGAATGGAATTTAACAGGGAGAAAATGAAAGCCACCGCTTTCAAGGGCAAGGGCAAGGAAAAGGAAAGAAACATGGGGCAGAAGGAGGAGGAGAGTCCGGCTCAAGGGCGAAGGGCTCACGAGCACAACAGAGTGCACAAACGTCAGGCAGGAAGCCCCCAGGAAGCTCTGGGTCCAGAGCACCCACTGATGTGGGGATTGTTCTGCCAGGCAAAATGACCCAAGCTCTCCTTGGTACATTGTCCCCAACTTAACTGTCATGTTGAGCAAAAAAATATTCAAGGCTGATCAAAATATTCAAAGTTCAAATGATTCAAAATACTCAAGGCTGTTAAAGAAATTTGGAAGAAAAATGCTCCGAAGGATAGAATAGCATTTCCATTTGGATTCGGAAAGGGATGAGGCCCTCCTGTATGGAGAGGGCCCTTCTGGAAGGCAGGGAGGACGATGTCAGCAGGTAAAGTGGCAGGGACACACACACACACACACACACACACACACACACACACACACACACAGAGATTGGCAAGGACCGCAGGGAAGGCCACCCTATCTAGGACAATCCTAATCCTTCACTCAGATCAGTTGGTTTCCTGGCCCCAGGATGTCCGCCTTACCTGGATTAACCCATTTTGCTTCTCCTCTGCCCCAAATGACTTCCCTGGCAGCTTTGAGCCCAGTGCCGAACCAGCCCAGGGTGGCCCTTGATCTGAAGCTGGGGGCCGTGGAGGGGAGGGCCAAGATGTCCTACCAAACACCTCCCTTCGACCAGTCCGCTCCTACAGAGAGGGCCTCCTTAGAGTGCCGTCGGCCAGACAATGCCGGCTGGTGACCCCCAGGGGGAGAGCCTTCTCTGTGGCAGCTCCTGCCCTCTGGAATGACCTACCCCCCGACCTACGTACAGTTGCGGACCTGCGCCTTTTTCGCCGACCCCTGAAGGCCCATCTATTCCGTGCGGCCGGCCTGGCGTAGTTTGGATTGTGTTTCAGTGGGGGGTTTTTTTACGGGTGTGTTTTTAGAACAGGCCCGTTATTTAATTCGATTTTAAAACAGAAACTATTTATTTATTATTGTGGTTTTTAGTATCGCCTGTTCACCGCCCTGAGTCCCGTAAGGGAGATAGGGCGGTATATAAATTTAATAAATAAATAAATAAATGAATGGGGGCTTTTCAGTGAGAGGAGCTTATCTTAGCAGCTCCTCGACCCTTTCCATATTTCCTCAAATGGCAGACCAGCAGACCACCTGGAAACGCGCCTTCGACCAACACGATGCTTTATGGGAAACGAGGGGAGGCAATTCTTGTTTGCTTGCCACAGTCGATGCCCTGGCTTAAGGCTACCTGGGGCTGGTGGGTCAGGACAGGCGGCTGGATGTAGCCGAGGATTCTCCTGGATGGCCAATCAGAGCACTGCCAACGGAGCTGGCTGCAAGGGGAGAAGCTCAGGCCCATCCCACGTGTGACCTCACTCACCTAGATCCCGGCAAAGACCCCCAAACACCTCCCCCAAAGCCTCACCCGCCCCGGCTGGCAGGGTCTTCAGCAGCCCTACAGGAGACCCGTTTTGGTGGGGAGACCTGGAAGGTGACGGGCAGCCTGGTGCAGAAAAGGGAGAAGGCAAGTCAGACCCTCCCTCTGGCCCTCCTAGCTCCATGGTGGACTTTGAAAGGCAATCAACAAAGGGCAGAGGTTTCTAAAGGGCTCAAGTTTTGTTCCTCAAATGGGAAATGACTCTCAAATTCTAGACCTCTTTATATTTTATTCCACTTGCAGTGACTCTGTGTGTGTGTGTGTGTGTGCACGAGTGTGCGTACATGTGAAAGAGAGAGTGCAAGTGAGGGCCTAAGTGTGCACCTGGCACAAAACCTCCACCCCCTCCCTGCAGAATGATTCCTCCCCCTCCCCCTTCCTATTCTCTCCCATCTTGAGCAGATAAATTGAATGACTAAAGGTTTTGTGTGCCTTAATTTCTGCTCACTTGTAATGTCAATAATTACCCAGCCAAACCATTCATTTGTCTAGATCCTGCCAAGCACAGAGAGAGCCACCCACGGGCAAATTCTCATTGAAAGGTGACAAAGAAACGGCGGCGGCAGCAGCAGCAGCGGCGTCTCACTTGGTCCCTCTCTGGGAAGCCGTTCGTGCACAGAGGGGGTCGGAGGGCCGGGCCGGTCCTCCGAAAGCCCAGAGGCCAACCAGCTCCATCCCAGGACTCTCTCACTGACCTCTGGCCAGTCCTCCTGAGCATGCAGGGTTCACACTCTGTGTGGCCACAGTGGCCGCCCTAAGCTGGCCCTGGTCCCAGCCCCTTGGCTCAGCTCCCTCCCTATCCCAGGGAGAATCACCCCACGTTGGAGCCGCTGCTGGAGGTCGTCTCCTTTGGGGAAGACATGTCACGGGCTGAATGGGGCCAGTGCAAGGTAGTGCAGCTGAATCTGTGCAAGCCCGATTGGGTTTGCTCCTTTTCTGTGGCTTAGGATACTGGGCACAGCTCCATGGCCATGGAGCAAGGCTAAAAGTCTGCCCGGATTCTCCCTGGAGCCCCGGCATGGCTCACATCCACTGAAGTAAGCAAGGCTCTCCAGCCGGTCTCCTGCCCGGCTGGGCGGGTGGCTCTGCAGGCCGGCAGGGAGGATTAGCCCACCAGCGGGACCCCCCTCCCGGGCAAGGACGGGGCACGGCACCTCGATGATGTCTGCGTTGGTCCGGCTCTCGTGGGGCTCGTTGTACTCGGTGTACTTCAGCAGCACCTTGTCCATGTCTGTGCTGGCATACTGGAAGAGCTTGTTCGAGTGGTTGAAGATGATCAGGGCGATCTCGCAGTCGCAGAGGACGCTCAGCTCGTAGGCCTTCTTCATCAGCCCAAACTTCCGCTTGGTGAAGGTCACCTGCAGCAGCAGAGAGCGAGCAGCATCAGCACAGGGAGAGGGCAGCCCGGAGGATCCGCCCCAAGCCTGAAGCCATCCAGATTTTCCCCCTTACCCCCCCAGGGTCGGGGAGCCAGAATCGGGAGATAATCTGGGAGTAGAGCTAAATTCTCCGCTTCGGCCCCAACACCCCTTTCTGCGCGGGGCTTCTCAGGAGAGCCTCTCTCAAGGTGGAGGCTGCCTCGGGGTGCGCTGAAAAACGACTGGGGAGGCCAGTTCCCTAGGATCTGCGTTGTGTAGGACTTACACTCCCTCGACTAAGCTTCCTTGTTGTACAACACTGAGGCCTGTTGGTGAAGCATCGCACGAAAGGATCGTGACTGCGTCTCGTGTCAAAACCACCCTAAGTGTGCCCAGCCCTGCAGAGAGATTCTCTCCCCAGAAGCGAAGCAAGCAGGAAAAGCCGAAACTCTGATGAGAGCAGAAGCTTCAATGGCTCCTTTGGCTCCGCCCCTCCCCCCCCCATTGAGGCCTCCTGGACAGACTTTACCCCCCCTCCCTCTCCCCCCCCCCGGCCAGCCATTGGGGGAGCCCTCATTAAGGCAGGTTTTAGCTTCAGTTGGCAATTTTTTGTGCACACAAAATGTGTGTTTAGGAAAAAAGAGGGAAGCTGTTTGATAATAAAGAAATAAAATGCGGTGCATCTCTGACCTGTCAGCCCAACTTCTTATCTGCCAATGAAACAGCAGGCGGGAAGCAGGTTTCAGGAGGATCGCACTAGAAAATTTCAGTTGAGGTTCCCAAATTGTACCTTTTTCTGGGTTTTTTTTTTAGAAGTGCCTTTGTTCCTTTTTGCTGTGGATAAACTGACTGGTTTCACCTCCTTTGGGCAAGCGGGCAATGGGGAAAGAGGCTCCTGCTTTAAGGGTTAGGGCAGTGATGGCGAACCTTTTAGAGACCGAGTGCCCAAACTGCAACCCCAAATCCACGGGTGCCGGGTGGGTGTGGCCCATTGGCTGGGCATGGCCCATTGGGTGGGCGTGGCTGCGGTGGTAACGGCAGACTGGGTGGGACTTAAAAGTTTAATCAATCAATTCCAACTTTGCAAGATTTTTTTTTCCCGCAAGAAGTTGAAATTGACTGATTGATTGAACCTTTTTTTTTTTTTTGCACACAGCAGCGGAGACCTAAAGTGAAAATGTTTTATAAAACCCAGCTGAAGGCCTAGGACTGGGGCGATGGCACGTGTGCCCACAGAAAGGGCTCTGAGTGCCGCCTCTGGCACCCGTGCCATAGGTTCGCCACCACTGGGTTAGGGTATAAAATCCCCCCCCCTTTCCTCTCTAGAAGGAAACTGCTGTGGTTCCTGCCCTTGAAGGGAGACATCAAAGTGTTCAGGAAAGGTTTTAGAACCCAAACTAAAGAATTGCAAGATTTTTTTGGGGGGGGGAGCTGCTGGCTCATCACTGCCTCCCCTATCTGCTCCATCCCAGCCCCCCCCCATCAAAAGACTGGGCCTCAAATTTGCTCTCCCAGGGAATATCTGGGCCGATCCACATTAGCCCTGCCTCCGGTTTAGATTCAGTGGCTGCCACTGCTTCTCTTCCAGGGGACACAAATCTGGGGTGATCCCACAACCTGGGCCGCTTTTTTGGCGAAAAGAGGGGGGAAAATGAAATAAATTCTATAACCATCCCTGGCCATGTAGCACTGAAGAATCAACCCTTCCTTCAAGAGATAGACATTCTCATAAGAGGTAAATTAGATCATTTTGGTTTTTTTTAAAAAGAAGAGCTAGACTCTTTTTTTTTTAGCTTTAAGTGACATTCTAAACATTTAGTGGTAAAGGCAACAAAAATGAAGATGTGTTCAAATCTTAGATGATCACTTAAAAGGATCTGGCAGAAAAAAAGGTATTTAATTATGAGGAAACAAGGCAGATTATAGGATGATGTTGGCCTCTGTGCTTAAGAACAACTCTGTCAGCAAGAGATCCAAGTTGCATAAAATATACAATTACTGGACTTGTACAAAGAGAATGAATACAAAAAAGCCCTTTAAAAATGTTCCCTCTGTCTCAACTAATCCTGGACTTTTCCTCCAGATCCCTGGAGATTTGTGGCAATTAATTCTGAGGCTTCTGGAGAGATGGAAATAAACCGCATTTCTCTTCCCAGCCTGGTTCGGAGCTTCTGCCCTTGTTTTGAAAAAAGCAAAAGCCTTTTCTCCCACGGAGGGCTCTGGGGTCAGCCCGGCCACCTCACCCCAAGTCCCGTCTCAGCCAGCCTGATCTATCCTGCCAGCGAGACCCGGCTTTCATGCCCGAGCAAAGCATTTTAGAGTTTATGGAGATTGCCTGGTTGACACCTTTTCAGCCAAATGCTAGATTTCCGTCACAATCTGCCCACCCACCTAGGGGGGAACCCAGTTTAGGGGAAAGGCAGGTCCTCTACACCCGCAGGAAGCCAACTCGGAGGAAGGAGGAAGAGAGGGGAGAAGGCTCTTCCCAGGCCCCACCACGGCCGGGCAGAGGCTTTGCAGGATTGCAGGTGTGGGGGGGGGAATGATGGAGAAGGGAAACACCCTTTCCCGACTCTTCTCAGAACAGATGACAAGATCTAGAGGAGCACCACAGTAACCGAGGGATCCTCCTCGTCCTAAAAAGCACACCAACGGATGGGGGCCTTTCAAATGGCACAGTCACTGGGGTTGGACTATTCTATTCTATTCTATTCTATTCTATTCTATTCTATTCTATTCTATTCTATTCTATTCTATTCTATTCTATTCTATTCTATTCCATTCCTTTCCATTCCTTTCCATATTTTCTATTCCATTCCATATTTTCTATTCTATTCTATTCTATTCTATTCTATTCTATTCCATTCCATTTCATTCCATTCCTTTCCATATTTTCTATTCCATTCCATATTTTCTATTCTATTCTATTCTATTCTATTCTATTCTATTCTATTCTATTCTATTCTATTCCATTTCATTCCATTTCATTCCATTTCATTCCTTTCCATATTTTCTATTCCATTCCATATTTTCTATTCTATTCTATTCTATTCTATTCTATTCTATTTCATTCCATTCCTTTCCATATTTTCTATTCCATTCCATATTTTCTATTCTATTCTATTCTATTCTATTCTATTCCATTTCATTCCATTTCATTCCATTCCTTTCCATATTTTCTATTCCATTCCATATTTTCTATTCTATTCTATTCTATTCTATTCTATTCTATTCTATTCTATTCTATTCTATTCTATTTCATTCCATTCCTTTCCATATTTTCTATTCCATTCCATATTTTCTATTCTATTCTATTCTATTCTATTCTATTCTATTCTATTCCATTTCATTCCATTCCTTTCCATATTTTCTATTCCATTCCATATTTTCTATTCTATTCTATTCTATTCTATTCTATTCTATTCTATTTCATTCCATTCCTTTCC